TCCTTCCCTCAGGAAAGCGACACTTACGCGGAAGAATCCCGCGTCCATCTTGACTCCTCCTGCCTGGCCGCAGAGAGCACTGCTCCGTATCCCAGCATACACCGCGCGACTGGGAGCGAGAGGAAGAGGCAGAGTGCGCATGTGCCGAAGACGTCCTTCCGCGTCACCACGCGCAACGAAACGGAGTAGGCGACGGTTGAGGGGTTGGGAACTGCTGAAAGAGCCCAGCAGTGGCGCGCTCACGTTCCGTACCCGTTGGGCTCAGTTGCCGGGGCGGGGAAAGTAAAAGACCTCAAGCCAATCAGAACGACTCTGTGAAACAAAAGCGGGGCACGACCGCGGCTCACGAAGAGGGAGGGGGGAGAACGGTGGCGTTTTTGTGGTTACGTCATGACGCACGAGAGCGGTGGCGGAATTCGCGGCAAGGGAGAGGAAGCTGAGGGGAAAGAGGGTCGTAGGCAAAGCCTGTGAACGCTTATCAGGGAAGTAACCCCATTAGCTTGCATGGGGCTATTGGCGGAAAGTGCCGCCAAGTCACAGGTGACTTACGGCGAGCCCCTTATCATTTTCAGGGTGAGAGACGTGAACAGAGGCGGTTGGCCATTGCCTGGAATGAACAGAGGAAGAGCCCTGCTGGATCGGACTAATGGCCCATCTAGTCCAGCAATCCTGTCTCGCACAGTGGCCAACCAGCTCTTCTGGACGGCCAACAAGGCATAGAGGCTGAGGGCTTCCGCTGATGTTGTCTCCTGGCTCTGGGATTAATGTGGAGGTTCCCCTCAGCAACATGGCTAGTAGCAATTTATAGAATTATCCTCCATGAATCTATCTAATCCCCTTTGAAGCTGTTTATTCCTGTGACCATCACAACATCCGCTGGCAGCGAGTTCCACATTTTAATCATTCTCTGTATAAAGTATTTCCTTTTGCCTATCCTGAACCTACTGCCCAACAGTTTCACTGGATGTCCAAAAGTTCTAGTATTGGGAGAGGGAGAAAAAGTTATTACTCAACTCTCTCTACCCATGCATAATTTTATTAAACCTCTATCATGTACTCCCATAATCCCTTTTCTAAACTGAAAAGTCCCAGACTCTTCAGCCTTTCCTCATAGGGAAGGTGCTAATCATCTTGGTTGCTGTCCTCTGTACTTTTTCAGGCTCTGCAATGCCCTTTTAAAGGTATGGCAATCAGAACTGGACACAGCATTCCAAATGAAGCTGCACCATAAATCTACATGGGGCATTATAATATTGGCCATTTTATTCGCAATCCCTTTTCTGATAGTCTTGAGCACAGAGTTCACCTTTTCACTGCTGCAGCACACTGGGTTGACACTTTCATTGAGCTGTCCACTATGATCTCAAGATCTTTTTCCCTCTCAGTCTCAGCAAGGTCAGACTCCATTAGCTTATACTTGAAGTTGGGATTTTTTGTCCCAGTGTGGGACAAATTATCCTCTGCATAATTAGTAAACATAAAGGGATATAACCCAGCTAGGAGCCCAAATAAAATGATAAAATCTGAAAAATTTCAGCCAACTTTATTGCAGTATTATTTATTACTCTGTTGCCTTGGTTTTAATTTAGTATTCCATCTTGCTTTTGAGTGAGAAAGGTGGACTATAAATGAAGTAGATAAATAATAGATAAATCTGGCTCCAAACTTGTGCAGGTTGACCTGGACAAAAAACAGGAGTGCATTGGGACTTACTTCTGAGTAGAGATGTAAAATTTCCGGAAATTTTGAAGCTCGGAAAAAAAAACGGTTTTTTTCGGGGGGAAACGGAAATTTTTGGAAAAATTGAAAAAATGCTACATTAGCATTTCTTTTGTCTTTTCTAGATTGAAAGTCATTCTGTTACTTTAGGAACATAAAATATGACTATGGACATTTTTACTTGGCATGAAATTATCACAACTAGCATATTAAAAATATAGTGTATCCAAACAATTATTACAAACAGAATACCCACCCACATGCAAAAACAAAACTGAAACCTTTTTATTTTCTTCTGACAATCGCACCTCCTAAAGGAAGAAATGCATCTTGTTCTTGCATTGGAGGGTTCAGTTTGTAACCTAGGTCTTGCTTGTCCTCAGTGCACAGAAATTAGATCAATCTGATACTATATATATATGTGTGTGTGTTCCATAATCATTTTTTTTCTTTTTTCAATTTTTCGGAAAAAAACAAAAAAGTTTCAGGAAAAAAATGGAAAAATACCAGTTTTTTCCGGGCCTTCACATCTCTACTTCTGAGTAAGCATGTAGAGGAGATACAGGAAGGTTCTGTTGGACTGGGTTAAGCTTTACCTACACTGAAGGACTTGAGGCTGCACACGAGGAAGGGCAGTTGCATGCGGGGGTGCAGAAAGGTGCCACTTAAGACTTCTGTACTTGTGTATGTTGGATTCATACCAAAATAAAATGAAATCTGCAAATATTCTCACAACCTTGAGCTTCTCACAAGAAGGGTGAGATAAACAGATTTTTTTTAAAAAAAACCCAGGAAATTTCATTTTTCACAGAATTGGCTTTATATGGTATTGGAAACTGCAACTGTAATTTAGAGTTTTCTTTTTTGTGTTTACAGTGTAATATTTTATTTATAGTACAATAACATAGTTAGAATATCCAGATTTAAAAGTAGTGGGTACTTGTAAGAGTTGCATAGGAGAGGGAGTTTCAAGCAATTCAGCGGAAAAATTGAAAAAAATGCTACATTAGCATTTCTTTTGTCTTTTCTAGATTGAAAGTCATTTTGTTACTTTAGGAACATAAAATATGACTATGGACATTTTTACTTGGCATGAAATTATCACAATTAGCATATTAAAAATATAGTGTATCCAAACAATTATTTCAAACAGAATACCCACCCACATGCAAAAACAAAACTGAAACTTTTTTATTTTCTTCTGACAATCGCACCTCCTAAAGGAAGAAATGCATCTTGTTCTTGCATTGGAGGGTTCAGTTTGTAACCTAGGTCTTGCTTGTCCTCAGTGCACAGAAATTAGATCAATCTGATACTATTTATATATATATGTTCCATAATCTTTTTTTTTTCTTTTTTCAATTTTTCGGAAAAAAACAAAAAAGTTTCAGGAAAAAAATGGAAAAATACCAGTTTTTTCCGGGCCTTCACATCTCTACTTCTGAGTAAGCATGTAGAGGAGATACAGGAAGGTTCTGTTGGACTGGGTTAAGCTTTACCTGCACTGAAGGACTTGAGGCTGCACACGAGGTAGGGCAGTTGCATGTGGGGGTGCAGAAAGCTAGCACATCAAGGGAGATGAGGTGCCACTTAAAACTTCTGTACTTTTGTATGTTGGATTCATACCAAAATAAAATGAAATCTGCAAATATTCTCACAAGCTTGAGCTTCTCACAAAAAGGGTGAGATAAACAGATTTAAAAAAAAAACCAGGAAATTTCATTTTTCACAGAATTGGCTTTATATGGTATTGGAAACTGCAACTGTAATTTAGAGTTTTCTTTTTTGTGTTTACAGTGTAATATTTTATTTATAGTACAATAACATAGTTAGAATATCCAGATTTAAAAGTAGTGGGTACTTGTAAGAGTTGCATAGGAGAGGGAGTTTCAAGCAATTCAGCTTTCCTCAGCACTATATGCCAAGAGGGCACAAAGAGACTCAAATTCAGATCTGGCAAGTATTTATGGTCAGTGGGCATTAGGGATGCCAGTCCCCAGGTGGGGGTGGGGGATCTTCCAATTTCGCGGGTTCCTGCCCACCACCAGCTAGCCAGTGGAGGAAGCCCCAAACCCTGCCCCCAAGAGTGACCACCTGCGGCCATCCCTGTTCCTCCCCTCCTTCAACATTTAAAGGTCCCTCTAGCTGATTGGCTGGAGCACACTGTCCTTTAAAACTTGCAGGAGAGGAGCAGCTACTGGCTGCATGCCTGAACTGCAAGTGGCCACTTGCAGTTCAGGCTGCCTCCCTTATATGATGACATCACTTCTGCGTGATGTCATCACGTTGGGGACATCTCCTCCCCCTCCAAGGACATCCCCCAAAGTCCCCCACCAGTGAGTAGACAGAACCAGGCAACCCTTTTGGGCACTGAACAAATCAAGGTATGAATATTTTTAAAACCCTATTTTAGCTTTGCTAAGCAATATCGATAGGCAAACTTTTAAATCAACAGTAGAGGGAGCTCCATATTTGCATATACTGAAAAGCAGCAACACTGTCCTTAACATGAAAAACCTAGAATGCAAGAACTTTTGAAAAGAATAGTCTTCTGAAGCTGTTTTTGTTTTGGTGTGACTACAGTTCTGGAGTTAAGAAGTAGTGTATTATTAATGACAGACACAAATATCATGATACACATTTATGGACAGGTTTTTTTTAAAAAAAATCTAAATTATAGAAAAGCAGCAGCATGCAGAATGTCCACAAGGTTGCATGCAGTCCCTGCTGCTCTTTGCTACCTTGCACCTATAATATGATTTCCCTGACCAACCCTCTTTATTAAAACAAAGATGCAATAACCAAGCTCAAATGAATAAATACAGTTGCTTCTGTGCATAGATTCCATAGTCGGCATACCAACATACAATGGGGCAAGAGAACACACCAAAATTCAGCCCCGTGGGAGGGAGGGACCTGGGTTTTACTCATGGTTGAAGTCCTCCCTTTACTAGCTTTGTGCCTTCCAGAAGTTGACGATTCTATCCCCCATCACCGCAGACTATTTCATGTTTGCAATTTTTATGATTCCAGGCTTGGAATTAAAGAAGTAAGCACCTCTTTTTTCCCTTTGCCTGCATTAGTGATCCTATGCAAGCAAGAAAAGTTGTTGGCAGGAAACAGCTGCCATGTGGGTGGGGCCAGGAAAAACCAAAGTTTTCCATAAATACAGTAGCCATCTCAGACTTTTCTCTGAACTTCAGAGCAAAGCATGTTCTGGAAACACTAGGGGAAAACCTGGAAAGTGCATGAACACATAATGCTGTGGGGGAAGTGGGGGCGGGAGGAGGATGCTATTCAACAATATCAAATCAATCAACAAGAGAGTTGACTTGGGTTGACCATTAAGAGAAATTTAATGGTGGAACCAGTAACCTA